ATTCTAATATCTTCAGCGGCACCAAGACTTCCTTTGAGAAACTTCTCTGCCGATCTACGGGCCCACTGCGCTGGCCTGTTGCAGTCCCTCCAACTCATTTCCTACGGATATCATGAAGATAGAATCCAACACAGACACATACAAGTGGACATATTTTGTAACGCTGGATGGGGAATAAAAACTAAATGAAATAAAGGATAAAAAGTCAAACGAAAGCCTTGATAAGCAAAAGCCACTTCCAGAGCTACAAAACAATTCCATTCGTCTTCTTTTCTCTTTTTTTTTTTTTGAGGACGGAGTCTCGCTCTGTTGCCCCAGGCCGGATGCAGTGGCTGATCCAGCTCACTGCAAACGCCCGCCTCAACCCGGGTTCAAAACGCCATTCTCCCTGCCTCAGCCTCCCGGAGCTGGGCACTAACAGGCCGCAACGCCACCTCGCCCGAGCCCTAGTTTTTTTGTATTTTTTTAGTAGAGATGGGGTTTCACCGTGTCAGCCAGGCATGGTCTCGATCTCCTACTCTGTATCCGCCCGTCTTCGGCTCCCAAAAGTGCTGGGATTACAGGCTTCGAGCCACCGCGCCGGCACGAAATTTCCTACTTCGTTTGAAACAGTTGCTAGGCAATATTTTTTATTTCCACTTTTATACATTCTTAGTCATTTCCACAACCAAAATTTTCTCATCCCCTGAGAGGGTGGGATTCATAGAAATTTCACTATGCCTTTTTTTTTTCTATTTAGTAAAGATAGGAATATGTTTTTCCAACAAGTGCCAGTGGTTGAGATTGACGGGATGAAGCTGATGCAGACCAGAGCCATTCTCAACTACATTGCCAGCAAATACAGCATCTATCAGGAGAGAGCCCCATATAGTGTATTTTCTGTTCTTCCATCAACAGAGAACACAGGAGCAATTTAAGTCCTTCCATGAGTGGGTAGGACCGTGGAAGGAGCATCATGACTAGCAGCAGGCTGGGCCTTGGGTGAGTATGCTGGGTTCAGTATTGCAGAGTCCCACGGAGATGAGGAAACAGTGAACATGGGGAGGGTTCAGGTGAGGGTGATTCTAGAAGAGGACGCAGTTCATGGATCCAGCACCCTTATAGAGGTTTCCACACACTGATGAACCGTGAACTTAGCAGGATGGGGAATCATGATTCCAGGTGCTCAGGCCTTCAGAGGCTGGACTCCAACAAATAGCTTAGACCAAGTCATAGAACGTTTGAGAGTCTGTAGATGAAGGACTTGGGAGGGAAGGCTGCAAAAGAGCTGAATCTCAGGTTCCAGTAATTCCAAGAATAATGACCAGGAACCTAAGTTTCCAGCCAATTATATGAACTGGTCAACTTGACTAAGGTTAGAGAGGCTGGTGCCCAAGATACTAGACTTACCTAAAGTGAAGCATTTTATACAGGCCAAAGCAGCCAGACTGATTTTGCACCAGCAAAGCTGGGAGGAGGGGTCTCCTCCCTTGTTGGCAGTTCCTTGAAAAGTCCAATACAGAGTTACCAATGACCTAGCAATTCCACTACCAGGTCTACATCCAGGAGAAAGGAAAACACATCCGCAGTAATCCATGCATGGAAATGTTCATAGGAGAATTATTCATCATATGCAAAAGGTGCAAACAACCCAAATGTCTACCCATGGAAGAATGGAGGAACAAGATGTGCTGTAGCAGACAATGGAATATTCTTGGGCTATGAAAAGAGATGAAGTACTGATGCATGCTCCAATGTTGGTAAGCCTTGAAAACATGTGCTGTAAAAGAAACCAGACACCAAAGGCCACATGTGACATGAATTCTTTTGTATGAACCATCCAGACCATTTGAGTCCAGAAAGGAAATCAGTTGTTGACAGGGGCTGGAGAAAGGGGACAATGGGGAATGGCTGCCAAAGCATGTGCTACTGCCTACCCAGGTGATAAAAATGTTCTGGAATTAGACAGTGATAGTATTTGCAGAATTCTGTAAATGTGCTAAAAATTACTGAATAATATTCTATAAAGGGGTGGCAATTATGATATGTGAATACATGTCAATAAAGCTGTTATTTTAAAAGTATTTGCCAGGTATGGTGACTCATGCCTGTAATCTCAGTACTTTGGGAGGCCGAAGCAGGCAGATCACCTGAGGTCGGGAGTTCAAGACTAGCCTGGCCAACATGGGGAAACCCTATCTCTTCTTGAAATACAAAAATTAGCTGGGTGTAGTGGCAGGTATCTGTAATCCCAGCTACTCGGGAGGCTGAGGCAGGAGAATAGCTTGAATCTGGGATGCAGAGGTTGCAGTGAGCCAAGATCGTACCACTGCACTCTAGCCTGGGCGACAGAGCAAGACTCTGTTTCAAAGAAAAATAAAATACAGGGCAAGGCACAGTGGCTCATGCCTGTAATCCCAGCACTTTGGGAGGTTGAGGCACGTGGATCACGAGGTCAAGAGATCAAGACCATCCTGGCCATCGTGGTGAAACCCAGTCTCTACTAAAAATACAAAAATTAGCCGGGCCTGGTGGCGTGCACCTACAGTCCTAGCTACTTGGGAGGCTGAGGCAGGAGAATCACTTGAACCCAGGGAGCAGAGGTTGCAATGAACCGAGATTGCCCCACTGCACTCTAGCCTGGTGACAGAGCGAGACTCTGTCTCAAAAAAACAAAAACAAAAACAAAAACAAAAACAAAAACCAACCAACCAACCAACCAAACAAACAAAAGTTTTGTAGGAAACACAGTTTGAAAGGAGAAGAAAGAAGATATCCTATAGTATGCACTGGCTTTATATGAATAATTTTACCATGTTTACCAATTTTACCATGTAAACAATTTTCTCATGTTACCATGGGAATATTAGGTGAGGTCTTGAAACACAGTCATGACTAGAATTGGCCAGCATCATGTGGAGAAGGTAATGGAACAATGTTTTATGGAAAATAATTGAGAGAATTTCTTTTTTTTAGAATTTCCTTGAAATAATATAGTTTTTAGACATACCTTATTTCCTAGTTTTTCATTTATTTATTTTAATTTTTTCTATTTTAAGAACTTCTAGTGTTGGGCATAAAAACGAGCCTGGAGTGTGTAGTATGAGGAGAGAGGAAAACGGACACGTTCGAGATGGCTGTGCTGGGGAGGCTGTCAAATTGCAGGTCTTCAGCCATATGAATCATGCTAAAATTATGTATAGAACAAACCACAGCAGAGTGAGCAAACCTTATTTGTAGCATCAGCAGTTATGTGCAGTGATTCCACTAATTTCTCGTGACTGTGACACTGGACAGGTCACTGATGTTTCTTGTACCTGTATTTGGTCATGTGTATACCAAACATTTTAGATCTAGATCTACCACAGTAGAGTGTTCTGAGAAATAAATGTAAATATATTTATAAAAATCATAGCCTAATGACTGGCATTTGAAAGGCACCCAATGGAGCTGAATTACTTTGCTATCACCTAATGCTCCATTGTCTCAAGTGTTTAAACCATAAAATCTAAGGCAGAAGGCACTTAGCAGTTTGGTTATTTTCGTCTTACAGGGTCGATATGTATATAGAAGGTAGGGCAGGTTTGAGTGAAAAGCTTCTTCATTACTCATCGCATACACCTGAGGAAAAAGAAACAAAGCTTGACCTGATCAAAGGGGGAACAACAAGCCATTATTTTCCTGTCTTTGAAACTGTACCTGGAAGCTTCTGGATAGCTGAACACATGGAACTTCTTGGAGGGTGGACTGTCCAGGGAAGGCATGGAAGCTCCATGCCACTTCCCCTGATCTCGCCCTAGGCATTTCTTCAGCTTTTCAGTGGCTACATGATTTGAGCCTCAAAACTACAATAGAGAATTATTCAGTGAGCAGTATGGATTGCCACCTAACAAGGATAAAGTAAACCTAAAGTCACAGTCACTACTCTGCCCCAAGTGGAAACTGTGATGTTTCTGTCTGGATTACTGCCAAGTTTGTAAAACAACAAGAACCAAAAATCAAGAGAGAAGAACTTCATTCAGTTTTAGGGGTGACCCATAGCAAAGTTTGTACGAATGGAAAGAGGTCCAGTGAGAACCTCAAACTTAATGTACTGTGAGGCTATCTTGAAAAACAGGCTTCTGGGCCTCTGCTCTTATGCTGCTTCTTTTATGACAACACCTTTAGATTGCATGACAAAAAACAGTAACACGAAAGACTACAAAAGAAATCAAAAGAAAGTCCTGATTCTACAAAGGAGGCTAAGCAGATGAGAACCAATACCAAAACCAAGGGCCAACCTGAGAATAAAAAGTCAAAGAGCTCACTGCAAAGAGAAGAGATTTCAGTCCAGGTGCTGACTTGCCACAAGGCATGAGGAGCCTTTGTGGATACTGCACCTGGTTGACGGCTGGGGTCCTTGGCAACGGGTAACATAGACCATGCCTTGTTGGAACTTCCAGAAAAACTGTGGAAGCCAAGACAATCCAAATGAGAATAAGCAAAGGGTGTTTATACAGAGCTTGCTATAGAAAGGAAGTCAGCCACCATCAGTCACATTTGTCAGAGATTCAGAGGTAGGCAGGAAAGTCTGAGAGATTTATGGTAGAAAAAGTTATGCCCTGATTGCAGGTTGCTGGCCTAGGGATGCTGTAAGCTGGCTAACTAGAAGCATGGATTTCTATGTGATTGGTTGGAGATTCATATTTTGCTTTCTGTGGTTGGTCATAAATTGAAAATAGAGGCAAAAATTAGGGAAGTTGGCAGTTATTGACCAAACGCTGGTGTATTTGACTAACTGTTGCAAAGGTCATGATAGAAGCTGTTTAGTCTATAAGGGCACTAAGAGTTTAGAGGGTTTCTTAGCAATTTGGCTGCTGTAACAAAATACCATAGACTAGGTAAAGAACAGGTGTTTCTGTCTCACAGCTCTGTAGGCTGGGAAGTACAAGATCGATGTGCCAGCAGATTTCACAACTGGGGAGCGCCTGTTCCTTGATTCATAGACATCCAATCTCTGGCTGTGTCCTCACATGGCAAACATGCCAAGGGAGTTCTCTAAGGTCCCTTTTATAAGGGGACTAATGTCATTCATGAAAGCTCCACCCCCATGACTTGATCATCTCCTGAAAGCCCCACCTACTAATGGCTTGAAAGAATATATATTTTTAGGGATCTCTTCTAAAGACATGGGAGTCAGGATCTCAATGTGTGAATTTTTGGGAAACATAAACATTCAGTCCATAACATAAGGCAACAGAAAAATAGTGCCTGGGAATTGGTGGGGCACTGACCTTCACGTCCAAAAGCCTTCCCTGATGTTAATGGAGCTCCTGACTCTCAAGGCATGGTATAAAAATAGACTGTGAATAAGAATTCTACTAGTTCTACCAAAGAACCCATGACATGTGCATTTGAACAATGTATATTACAATATAGCATTGAAGTTGTTTTCTTTGTGCACTGAGTAATTATCCATACTTTTGTATGTATACATAATCTGAAAATATATTTGCCAAAATATTATCTTAAATCAATGGTGCCATATGATTTCTCCTTTTATTATTTATGATGTTAATCTGCTGAGATATTTTAATAAATATCACATATCACTCAAAATTTTTATTATTAAAAAATGTATACATCCAGTGTAGTCCAAAGAAATGTTTTATGAACTTACATACACCAAGGATCTAAGTAGCAAAGTTAACATTTTATCTTTGCTGTATCACATGTCAGTCACTACACCCCTGTTTGCCTCAGTCAAACATTTTTTTTTTTTTTTTTTGCATTTCAAAGTAAGTTGCAGACATCTTCACAGTTCACTCCGGGACACAGTGGCATGCAGATTATAGCATAGGGAAAGCAGTAAGAACCAACATTGCAAGAAAGAGGATGAATTAAAGTTCACCCAGGCTTATTTCACATCCCAAAGCAGGAGATGAGGAGAGCAGTTGAGGAGAAAAGAGGATTCTGAAAGAGTCTACTCCTGGGAGAAGCGTGCTGTCATGAAGGTGGAGTCGCTACCCAAGAGAGACTGCAGAGAGATAGAGTGTAAAGCCACTGACACCAGGGCTGCACGCTGTAGGGCCTGGGGCAGACAGAACATGCTGCAAGAGGGGATAAGCCCCCGGCCCACGTGGAAGATGCAAGCTGGGTGGGTGCTGTGGATGCCACAGCTGATGTGGAATAAGAAGAGAAAATGGGAGCCTGGACTCCAACCAAGAAGTGAGCAGAGCCACACTTCTTACTCTCTCACTGAATCAGGGAACATGGAGAAAGATCTGGATCTTCGCACCTGCCCAGTAAGGAAGCAGAGGTGGGAGAGGGAGAGTCAGGCTGGACATATTCAGGGATGAAGCAGAGGCCCCAGCTTCACTGCACATGTATTCCTGACCTGATTCCTCCAATTCTCCAGGTATTGAAGAGCCATGGACAAGACTACCTCATTGGCAACAAGCTGTGCCGGGCTGATATTCACCTGGTGGCACTTGTCTACCATGTGGAAGAGTTTGACTCCAGCCTCACCTCCAGCTTCCCTCTGCTGAAGGTGACCCATTTCCCAGTCCTCAAGAAGCAGCTCCTCATCTCCCACCTTGGTATCTAGTATCTGGGCCCTTGGACTGGCCACATTCTGATCCCAGCCTTCTCCAGGCCTTCAGGGCTTCCCATGTTTCCAAAATGAGGTTTCAGGTCCTGATTCTGAGGCATGGAAATGCCTCCTTGTGATGCCAAGGAAATTTGATGTGCATGCTACCCCAAGAAGAACATTTCACTTTATATAATACCAAGGACCCAGAGCCCAGCATCTCTCCTCATCCCTGTATTTCACTGTGGTTTTTGCTGCTGAGTTCTCTGTGATGCCCTTTATTCCAATATGCCCTTGTCTTCCCACACCAAGCATGTCTGAGCAGGGCCCTTTCCATCTGGTTCCTTCTTTGGGCTCTGGCTCCTGCTGCCAGATCATTGTGCTCCTTGTGCACAGCTCTCCCAACATGCTGCCCCCCAACGCTATATCCCTCTATGGGAAAAAGTGGCCCCATGGTTTGTCTTTCACATTTTCTGTTTTCATTTCTAACTCAATTTTCCCATATCTTCACTTCTTCTGCTTAGAGACTGATCTGTGGTGATATCTCACAGGCACATGGTTCTTTCTCGTCTTCTACAAGAGCCATGAATATACAAGATTCAAGTGTAAGAAAGAGGGTAGGAAGACTGAACTGAATAAAGTCTTAAAGACATTGTTTGGGAAATGCTAGTGAGCTGCATGTTCTTCCTCTTATCTTCATCTCTCACTTAGTGGCTGTTTCTGCCTCCATATTGGTGCTGATAGAAGGAACTCAGTTGGTCTTTGTGTAGGAGGGACTCAGATTCCCTGGGTTGTGTTAATGGTGGTGTCAGCCCTTGGCTTCACTCTAAGGCTGTGCTTTGTGCATTGCGGGCCTGAAAATCAGAATCAGCAAACTCCCCACAGTGAGGAAGTTTTTGCAGCCTGGCAGCCTGAGGAAGTTTCCCATAGATGCAAAAGGCTTAGAAGAAGCAAAGAAGATTTTCAAGGTTTGATAAAGCAGGTATGGATGCCAAGAACATGCAATAAGAATATTCTAAAATTTTGCAACAATAAATTGCTTTATCTAAATGTTGGTGGTGGCTATTGTGAAGTTAATAAACTTTTTAAAAATTATATGCTATTACATAGTAAAACATCCATGACCAGATTTAGTTAAAATCGATTTCTTTTCATTAGTATCTGATATGAAATCAGATTTCCATTCTCCCCATAAATTTTCTTGGAATTAAAAATTTAGTAAAAAAGTAAAATTAGACTATGTGAGTTGTTTGACTTGTTCAAGAATTGTCCTGTAACATTTGTCAAATGACCTATAAAAAGGTCAGGTGTAGAAATTCACCTCTGACATTCTGCACAAGAAAACAATTACCATTCTGGGGAATGGCAAAATGAAATTTTCTTTTTTTCCTGGACATCTGTTTTATTTCTGATGAAAACACTTTTTCTTATGCATTTTCAAACAACCATTCTGTCTGCTGTGGATCCCTCAGTTTTCTAGGAGGTGAGGAAATATTGAAGAGCAAACAGACCCACTCTCTGCTCTCAGGCCACCCTGTTGTCCCTTACAGGTGTGTGTTCCTGGCTCATCCTCACTCTGTTCCTCAAGGCTCCATGGGCCCCCAGGCATGAGCCTTCCCTCAGTTCCCTCAGTGCCACTCAGGCCTGGGCTGCCAAGATACAGATGGTATATGTGAATTACACATAAGCAACTATATGCGACATCATTTTTCTCTGGTGTGTCATTGTGCCAACGTGCTTGGACTAGAAGTGATTTCCAGGAATCCTTTCCTGCGTCTTCTAGCTTCTGGGGGCTCTTGGTCTTTCTTGACTTTCATGGGTCATGACCACATCACTCTAATTTCTGCCTCTGTCTTCCAGCACATCACCCTCTGTGTCTCGTGTCTTTTCTTCCGTCTGCGGTGAGGACAATTGTCAATGGATTCGGGGCCTTTCCAGATATACCAAGAAGACCTCATCTCAAATTCTTTTACTTCATTACATCGGCAAAGAGCCTTTTTCCAAATTAGATCAAGTTCACAGGGTCTAGGGATTTCTATATGGACCTATCTTTCTTGGAGGCCAACATAACGCCCTGCATGTTACAGATGAAGAAAGATTATTTGCAATTGATGAATCCAGGTGATGGATACTTTCAGATTTGTTACGTTATGGGCAATTCGAGTGACGTAAAGAGAAAAGCACATGCAAATAAGGTTCCCGGATTTGGCAGATAAAATACAGGACACTCACCTAAATGTGAATTTCAGATAAGCAATAAAGAATATTTCAGTATAATCAGGTTTCATACCATGTTTGGAAATAGCTATAACTAAAAAATTATTGATTGTTTGCCTGAAATTCACATTGACATGGATGTCCGATATTTTATTTGTCAACCCAGTAAGTAAAGGGTGGCATCAGCTTGCCCTTCACAGACAAACCCCCCAGCTATGCTCACAATAGAGGTTTTTCAGTTGCCATAGTCTCTGCATCCAACTCATGAAAACAAGTGTCTTAAAAAGCCAGTTTCTGCTGACTTGCAAAAAGAGCAAAATCTAGGTGGAATGTATTGTTTAAACTTTAATTGCCAACCTTGAAATGGAACATATTAACCAGTTTCTTCTGATAAGCAGATCACTTGCCTCACATCTTAGAATCCAGTAGGTGGCCCCTTGGCCATGAAATGTGTGGGAGTTGCTTTTCCATAACTTGACCCTTCTTTCAGTGGGAGGGAACTATTGAAAGAAACGACAAGCTTATAAATACATTAGGACCTGGAATTCAGTTGTCGAGCCACGACAGTAACAGCATTTAACAAAGTAAGTACTGATCTTATAAATCTCTCTACATTGCCTCAGACCCTCCTCTCTAGCCTCCTAGAAAAATATGCTCATGTGAGTCCTTAGCACAAGGAAAAGTCTGTTTTTACTCATATCGTGCCATCTTGGTGTGTTTGGGTGACAGTTCAATAATTGTTTATTTCTTTTCTGTTGGATACATCTTTACAGAAGTATAAAAATGAAGAATTTAGAAAACCAGGGCCTCAGCGTTTAATGGTATGGGAAACAATGACATGAGGGAAAAAAAGAAATGGTAGTAACTTAAACAATCTGAGAATAATCAGGGCTGGAAGAAGTGGCAATGTATGCAAAAATTTCTTTCTCTATGTAAGTAATCAACACACAATTGTAAATTGTGACACTGTAATACTATATTGGCTGTGAAAATTTAAAACTAAGGTTTATTATAATTAGAGGAAATTAGTTTGAATGTCAGGGGAACTAGATTCTAGTTGAGCCTTTGCCACTAATTAGCTCGACGACAAGTCATATTCTGTTTCTGGAGTCCTACCAACTCCTGGCCAATCTAGAGGATAGTTAAGAAAGAGGCTCTGACTGTTGCTGCCCTTTGGACTATGTAATTCTTTGTATGGAGATCTGACCTGCCCACTCTAGGATGTTTTTAGGCATCCCTGCCCTCTACCTACCTGATTTGTAGCCCCCTCTCCCTCCCTGCAGATGTGACAACCCAAAATGTCTCTAGACCTTGCTCAATGTCCTCTGGAGCAGAGGAGCCAAATCCCCCTGGTTGAGAACCATGGGACTACATGACCTCATGGGACTAAGCAAGGCTGTGTTACTGATGCGCCCCACTGCTTGGACATTCACTGAAAACTTCCTGTTAATCCACATGGACTGATTAATGAATATCATTAACCTCTGTACAGGAGCTAAAAAGCAAAGAGAGAGAGAGAGAAACAGAGAGCCATCATACGACAGATTTCATATAAGTCTGGATTCATATGAAATCTTATTCCTACTAGAGTTCTATGGACAAAATATAGAGAACCAGAGAAATGGATACAAGATAGATAATAGATGTTGAAGAGACAGATTACAGATAGATAAATACATAGAACAAAACAATACATACATGGATGGGTAGACAGAGATTATAAATAGATACATATACATAGATTGCTGATAGGTAAAATAATTGATGGATAGATAGATCAAAGAAAGAGGATCCATGGGCTACTCAATGTGTCCAGAGACTCACCCATCTTCCAAGCACTGGGACCAGAGCAAACACCCATTGCTGAGTTCCTACTATGAATTTTTGTACCTTATCTCATTTAACTTTCTCAACAATCCGCAAAAGTAGAAATAACTAACTCGATTCTAAGGAGAGAAAATTGAGGCTCAGAGATTAAACAACCTACTGCGTTTATGAATCTCATAATGGGAGGAGTCGTGATTTATCTCATTCTCCCTTCTCTCTGATAAGAAACAGTGTCATTGGGACCAACTCAGAGATGGAACTCCTTTAATTTACTCCTGGAATTATGAGAGCTTACATTCCTTTCAAAACAAGCCCATTTTTAATTGATGTAAATACAGTTATACTAGTCCTCAATTCACTCTGGTTTTTAGGTTGTCAAATCAGAGAAAGGCACACTTTTATTAATTTTTTCTTCCAAGCAAGCCCCTGAAAAGTTGCTCACAGGAGGAACTCAGGAATTAGATGTTCTCCTCTCGCCCTCTCCTTCCAACATTTAGTTGGCTAATATACATTGAATAGGAAAATATAAAACAACTTTTCAGACAGGAGCTGAGAGCCAGGTTACGGGGTGGAGTGGAAAAGCTCTGGACCTGCAATCAGAAGTTCAGGCTGACCCAGCACTCACCAAGTGTGCAGCATGGGACAGGTGCTTTAGCTCTGAGACTCAGTGTGCCCATCTTTAATTCAGATAATAGGAGCCATTTCCCAGGGTTGTTGCAGAAGGTAGACACACTCCCTAGATATTGACCATGAATGAGCAGCATGTGTGTGTGACCCGTGGCAAATCCTTGAGTTCTCTGGTTCTCATTTTCTGTTGACCCAACAAAGCTCAATGGTAACCTATGTCCCAGTCTTAGCCTGACCCTTGGAAACCTCACATTGAGAAAGTGGTATGTTAGTTATCAGCAGGAGTGTTGTGATAAAATATTAGGTAAGATAAAATTTCATTTCCTTTTGAAACATGATCCTCAATCAATGGCTAAGAGAGTTTAGTTTGGAGATTGGAATTACGACACTGTGAACTCTAGTCCATAACAGTTAAACAAGCACACCCCACGCTTTCCTGTGAACTTCACTCTCCCTTTCATTCTGCTGAATTATGCTATTTCCATTTCCCAAGTTACCTGAATTTATTCCTGGAGTTATCATAGAAAGTACAATGTCAAAATATCTAATTACAAAACAGGTGAGTTGATTCAGTATGATTTCATAGAATTCATACAGGCATGAGCCACTGCACCCAGACTCAACTAATGTATTTCTAAAAAAGTAGGTATGACTAAAATTAGGCATCAAAATCTTTTAAATGTCTACATTTTAAAACATGGGAGTCAATAGTTTAAGCTTTGGAAAGTAAGGAATTTGATGGATCCATCAAATATCGATTGAATATTTGATGACATGGAAGAATTATTGTTAATATTTCATGTGTGATAATGTACTCTGGCAAGTCACTTTAAAAACGTCAGTATCCTCAAATGTAAAATGAGAGTAACAACAGCATTCACCTTAGGTGATTTTTGTAGAATAAAATGAAGAGAAGTTTAGAAGAATGACCAGTGTGTGACTGACATTGAACAAATGCTAGCTCCTTCCATATCCTAGAAAGTTAATGCAGCAACATCTCTTCTTCCAGGTTATAAAACAAAATGCCCCCCACAGAATTAGAATACAGAATTCCAAAAGAAACAAGGGATTAGCATTCTTTGTCTGTTGCAATAATTTGGATCTTCTAGCTACAGTCAAACAAGTCTGAGGCCTAATTTCTGGTTTTGATCAAATGCAGTCTCATAGCCAAAGAGCTGAACAGTGACTTAGCTCCCTGCCAGTCCTCCCTATCAGTGACATCCTCTGGTTTCACAGCCAGTTCATGGATTCCCAGAGCCTTCACCCCGCTGGCCTCCAGGCGTGCCTTCATTTTAGTCCTTGG